GAAAACACTCATGTTAAATATTTCGTACATGGACATTCATCACCTACACAATCTGTGAAATATTAAATATGCATTTATTAGAGCAGTGACTGAGTGACATACAACATGACTCTGGACAATTAAATGCACGCACATTTAATTTCAAACATTATTTGATTCAAATTGTTCATTTCCATGTTGTAGTTTGAATATCTGATTACAATTTGAATACATTATTGCATTTGCAAGATGCTCGGGATCTGTGTCTTGTCACTTGTGTACTGAAACTTCTGTCACCAAAACAAATTCCTTGTATGTGCAAACATACTCAATAAAGCTCTTTCTGACTTCTTAAAGAGACGTTCATTTTCGACTCAAGGAGCACTGACTCAGTTTCGAGCATTGTATCAAAATAATCATATCAGACAGAGCAACTCACGCGCTTCTAACAGATTTGATTTCTCCTAAATGTATAAATATAGATTTATTGTATTTCAGTGTTTAAACTGGATTGCTATAGTTGAAAAATTGCTATTGTGGTGAATGTGTGTCATGGGCCTGATAGCAGCATGATTTATCTGAACTACAGACTTGTTTTTATTAATCAGATCATGATGTTATTGCAAACCTGGTGCATGCGTGTTGTTGCTGTACAAATAGCGACAGATCTTTTCTTCTGTATTGTGACGGACACCTGACTGTACAAGTGATTGAAAAAGAAAAATGTAGGGCAGGACGTGATTCTGTGCATCAGCTGTTGTGGTGGCTCTCAAAAGTGTGTTAAGAGCACTAAAAGACTGGAGAAGATCCAAACATTTTTACTAAATTAAACACTCGCAGATTAATTGTTCAGAATAACATCTATAACATGCTTTTAGAGCATTGCATTTCATGCCAACTTTAAGCTTGTGTTTAAAGAGATGGGTGCTCTGATGTGATTGAAGGTTGTGCTTTGACTGAAGAGTTTGAGAACCAAGCCACCAAACTCACGTCAAACCTCATGCGCTACGGTGATGCACCGCTGTACTCACTGTCTGGAATAAGAGGAGCTGGAGGAGTCACCACAGTCCAGCCGGCCTTCTTGAACATCTCGATCTGCAGGAGAGAGTCACCATCATGTGAGCGTCTCGCTGCAGTGCTACAGATCAACATTAGGTGGCAGCACAGCACTGACCTGCCTGCAGGGCCGATCCGGGTTCGACAGCACCAGCCCCGGGCCGATGATGTTAAAGGTGGCGTCGATGTGCATGGGGTTGGGGTCTTTGAAGGAGATGATGTGGATCTTGTAGGTGGGAGCGAGGTGACGTCTCATCCACTCGATGCCCATGAAGTTTGTAACCTGTCAGTAAAAACGTGAGGAGCTGGAAGAGTTCTCAACAGGAGCTGGAGCATGAGAGAGCAGTGAGCTCGGAGCGGATGAGGACGCTCACCTGACTCCTCTGTACAAAGATATCAGTGCCGGCCCTGATGAAGTCTGCAGCGTCGAAACATGGCTCGAACTCAGTGGTGACAAACTTCCCCTGAGCGGCCAGCTTATGTCTGTCCTCCACAGTGCGGATGGGGTAATCCTACACACACACACACACACACACACACACACACACACACTGTGAAGTGCTGCATTAGCAGCGTAACATGCATCTGTTTACACTCGTGTCTGCGCATCACCTGATCGTACAGCTCGTCACTCATGGTGGGTTTGGGTGCAGTGGTCCACTTGGCTCCCCGCCTGAAGTACTCCTTAATGAGTGGCCGATACGCGCGGTACTCGAAGAACCGGGCCCTCCAGGCCATTGGGGCCTCGATGATCTCGTTTCCCACCACGATCAGAATGTCTCTCGGCATGGCTGCATACATGCCTGCACAGAAAACAGCCTGTCGTGTCGGCACTGATATCAGTGTGTGTGCGTGTGTGTGCACGTCACGTGTGTGTGTATCTACGTATGTGTGTGCGAGTGTGTGTGTGTGTGCGTGTGTGTGAGTGAGTGTGTGTGTGTGCGTGTGTGTGATTGAGTGTGTGTGTGTGTGTGTGTGAGTGAGTGTGTGTGAGAGTGTGTGTGTGTGTGTGTGTGTGCGTGCATGTGCATGTGTGCGTGTAAGTGTGTGTGAGCGAGTGAGTGAGTGTGTGTGTGTGTGTGCGCGTGCGTGTGTCTACTGCTTTAAATGCTGAAGCTGTTTTTCTAGGGCTTGTCGTCAGTAACAGATGTAATCTGGATCCTGAACTTAAGGCAGACCCCTTGACTAACTGCTAGACTAGTTCTTAACATCTTGGCAGTGCTTCTGAAAATGGCCCCAGTTTATTTACACTGTATTCTGTCTATATTTATATGTCCTGTCCTTGTATCAGCAACAAAAGATGGTCTTTTGGACATGTACCGTGGTATTCTACAACGGTACAGGTATAAGTACTTCCCCCTCAGGTGCTGTCTGTGAGCTGAGACACAACACGTCTGCTTCTGCAGTGAAACCACACTTGGCTGGCTGTACCTTGACCTCCACGGTGAACGGGGGGACGCAGGCGTTCTCGGCTCTGCCTACGATCACCTCCTCCAGCGGGTCCCACTCGGTGTGCGCGCACACGGGGCTTTCCTCGGGCGCGGGCTCGGTAAACGGCTCGTCCACGGTGAGCGGGAGCGCGGCGGTGGAGCTCGAGGTGCTGCGGAACGCGCGCGACACCGCGCGACCCACCTGCGCGACACAGAGCAACCGGAGCGCAGAGATCAGCAACAACAGCAAGAAAGAGCAATGCAATTAATGCAGGTGCGACTTAATGAGCGGAATTAGACAAAACTCAAAACTGCTTTACATGTTCTTTAACGAAAAAAATGGTGCAGAAACTATTCATATCAGCTAGTAAATACAACTTTGACAGATCATTTTTTACGCTTACACACACACACACACACACACACACACACTCACACACACATCAGTACACACACACTCACTCACTCTCTCACACACACACACACACAGGTTTGTTTTTGTGAAAGTGGGGACTCTCCATAGGCGTAATGGTTTTTATACTGTACAGACCGTATATTCTATTGCCCTACACCAACCCTACCCCTAAACCTACCCCTCACAGGAGACTTTCTGCTATTTCAGATTTTCAATACACTCCATTCTGTGTGATTTATAAGCGTTTTGAAAAGTGGGGACATGGGGTAATGTCCTGAAAAGTCACCTTCTCCTTGTAATACCTGTCATACCTTTGTCATTATACACATTTATGTCCTCATTTGTCACAAAAACACGCACACACTCACACTCTCACACACACACACAGGTTAACAGATGACGCTCCGGAGAAAGTGTGCAGGATGATCGCGCGACTATAACGCGCCGCCTGCGCTTCAGCACGCTCTGATCTGCGCTACAGCACTGAACGCTCTCTTCATGATCCTGGAGTCACAGTCTGAGTTCGTGATCGAGGAGGAGGATCTCTGATCTACAGCTGTGCTGTCACTCACTCATAACACACGAGCTCCAGCTCTGAGCCAATGCTACGGTTTCTAAGAACATGATTTACAGTAGAGTCAAAGACTTATAATCTCGCTCCACCTGTAAAAGAGAATGCAGTTAAGAGCTTAACACTACAAGTCCATTTTTTATGATCAAATCAATCAGCTGTGACTGCTGTGGAGGTATGGTTTCTGGGCTCTCACTCAGCACACACTCGCACATATGGCACTGCAGCGCTTTCCTCTCACCATAGCGCCGATCAGATGAGCGGCTTCAGCTCCGCGGCCCCCACCCACACACGCCCCCCCTCTCACACACACACACTCACACACACACACACTCTCTCTCTCACACTCTCACACACACACACAGGTTAACAGATGACGCTCCGGAGAAAGTGTGCAGGATGATCGCGCGACTATAACGCGCCGCCTGCGCTTCAGCACGCTCTGATCTGAGCTACAGCACTGAACGCTCTCTTCATGATCCTGGAGTCACAGTCTGAGTTCGTGATCGAGGAGGAGGATCTCTGATCTACAGCTGTGCTGTCACTCACTCATAACACACGAGCTCCAGCTCTGAGCCAATGCTACGGTTTCTAAGAACATGATTTACAGTAGAGTCAAAGACTTATAATCTCGCTCCACCTGTAAAAGAGAATGCAGTTAAGAGCTTAACACTACAAGTCCATTTTTTATGATCAAATCAATCAGCTGTGACTGCTGTGGAGGTATGGTTTCTGGGCTCTCACTCAGCACACACTCGCACATATGGCACTGCAGCGCTTTCCTCTCACCATAGCGCCGATCAGATGAGCGGCTTCAGCTCCGCGGCTCCCTCCTCTCAGGCATCGCACACGCAGCATGGTGCTCTGGTTCTGGTTCTGGTTCTGGTTCTGGTTCGGGTTCGAGACTGGAGCTCTCGGGCATGCAGCAGCAGCTCTGACCTGAGGCGCCGCGGGGACGCGCTTTTATAGTGCGCGCGCAGAAGGCAAGGGTCACGAGCGAAACTGCAGCAGCAGCACATTCTGACCAGCTTACACTCCTCACACACACTCCTCACTCCTCACACTCCTCACTCATACTCCTCCCTCACCCTCCTCACTCCTCACACACACTCCTCACACACACTCCTCACACTCCTCTCACACACTCCTTACACTCCTTACACTCCTCACACTCCTCTCACTCCTCACACTCCTCTCACACACTCCTTACACTCCTCTCACTCCTCACACTCCTCACACTCCTCTCACTCCTCTCACACACTCCTTACACTCCTTACACTCCTCTCACTCCTCACTCCTCACACTCCTACACTCCTCTCACTCCTCACTCCTCACACTCCTCACTCCTCACACCTCACACTCCTCACACTCCTCACTCCTCACACTCCTCACACCTCACACTCCTCACTCCTCACACACACTCCTCACACACACTCCTCACACTCCTCTCACACACTCCTTACACTCCTTACACTCCTCACACTCCTCACACTCCTCACACACACTCCTTCTCACTCCCCCCACTCCTCTCACTCCTCACTCCCCCCCC